CATCTGGAATCCTACTAAGTTAAAAACTCTAGGAAATGGAAAACTAAGCTGCTGCCCAGTCTCTTCAGTATAGAGAGGGATATTTTTGAACGGAGCTTGAAGAACCAATGCTGAGAAAACCAATATAAGGCATCCAACACAGTGTTCTTAACCCTGTGCTCTCTAGTCGCTTGATATATTCCTCTTCTTCTCCTTCCAGTCCATTTGGCACTACTATTCATAAAACCTGGGTGAAACTTAAAACTCTTGTTTGTGCTCTAGGCTGCCTAATGAAGTTAGATGTACGCTGGAGAAAAAGAGGAATCTCAAAGACTGAGCATATTATGTTTTCCAGTATAAAGTACTTTTGTTTAAATGGAATTCTTGAGAAAATAATTTTACATTCTCAAATCAGCCACCTCCCCCCCAAAAGTCTATCCTAAATCTTCTCCCATTCCTCATTTTTCTTATTTCATTCTTCCTTAACAATCTCCACAGGGTTATTTCCTACTTCAGGAAGAAAACATGTCCTCAGAAAAGAACTTCATTGTATTATCCTTTCTCTCAAAAATTCACCAATATTTCCATTCTCTCCAGATAATCTAAGATATTTCCATCTTTTCTCATTTTGTGATTTAAACCTGTGAGACTGTCAAGACTAGCACCATGACAGGCGCCCTGAACTAAGAGTAGGCCTAAGTTTCAGTTTCTCCCGAGGGTAGGGTAATTATCTGCCCTCAACAGGCCACCAGAGACCAGCTAATCAGTAAGCGCCCAGTAAACCTCTAAGAAGGTCCCCTGGAAAGTCCCACGCGCGTGAAAGTTTGTACCAATAAAATTGCTTTGCAAACATATAACCAATCCGCAAGCGCCCACTACCCACTGCTTATGTTTGAAATCAAGCACCCTATAAATGTGCGTGGAAACTGGGGCTCAGGGCTCTCTGACTTTGCACCACTGCATTGGTTGCAGCAGGGGCCCTGGCTCGAGTCAGCAATAAATTTCCCTTCCTTTGCGTGTTGCATTGTCATGGAGGTCTTCTCTTTTCCTGCTGGGGGATTTGGACAGCGGGCATAACAAAACCTACCTAATCTCCTGATTCCTTTTTTAGTATATAATAGATATTACAAGCCAGTATGGCCTTAGAACTGTACTGTCTGTGCTTGAACACAAAGCCCACTACTTACTAAGTTATATGATCTTGGATAATTCACTCAGCTTCTCTAAACATCCATTTCTTCTCTGTAAAACATAGTGATAAGATTACTTTATTCACAGAATGATAGGGAAAATGAAATAAGAAAATTCATAGAAAGTAATTGAAATACAACCTGCACCCAGGAAACACTCAACAAAAGTGAGTTATTATCAGATAAATGTAGTTTAACCATAATGTACTGGCAGAGAATGTGAAGGGCTTATGGAAAAAAACAAATCTGTTTTCTCTAATCATATTGGTGATGGCAGTACTAAGAATTCTCATACATGTGTAGGTGGGGTAAATCAAGTGAATAAGTATTTTATTTTCTAATTTTATCATCCCCTTTTATCACTGAGAACCAGTATTTCTGGTTTGGCAGAAATATATAAAATTGCTCTGGTACATTTTGTCTTACCAGATAATAAAAAAACCATGAAGGACTATTAGCATAGTCTCAAAACCACTCAGAATTCAACTTCAAGAGGCTTCCACTGGTTGATGAAGGGCCATCTTAAATTCAGTAAGTGTAGTAAGAAAAATTGTTTAAAACATCAAATATATGTAAATCCAGTAATTCAAAGTTATTCTTTTGCAATATCCTTGTCATCTGCAAAGGATTGTAGGCAACCAAATTATCATTTTGAAAAAACTCGAAGAAAAATAATCAGGCACTTCCCTGACTCTCTTTTACAGTTTGTACCTGAAAATAACAAAACTGTCAATAAAAGGAAATTGTTTTAAATGTGTATCCCAATTAATAAAGGAAGAATGATAGAAGTACAACATCACAATTTTGCAAACCCTATTGATGTAATGTCTCTACACAATCATCATTAACTTTTGCTAACTGTAAAAGAAGTCACAGCTTGATATTATGTGCCTCTTTATGGAAATACTCAAAATTCCCCTTCAAGTATTCTTGCTTAAAAATTACACCTATATCTGGTTCACAGATTCAATTATTGACATGCAAGAAATACACAGAAAAAAAGGATATTATAAACTATACCATAGGGATACAATCAGTAAAGTCAAGAATGTAAAAAACTCTACAAGTCACATGATCTACCTTCTCCAATTAATAAATGATGTGAAAAAATAGAGGGTAGATTTGAAACCTGTAGATCGAGTGACTTAAAAAAAGTATCCAAAAAGCTAGGCAAAATTAAACTGCAGTGTTTGAGTATACATTGGTGTGATAAAACTGTATGGAAAATCATGAAGGTGATTACTATAAATGTCAGGATAGTGGTTACATTTAAGGGTGGAAGGAGTGGGTTGTGATTGGACAGGGTAGAGAGAGGCCTTCTGGATTGACTGGCAAAGTTCTAATTGCTGATTTGAGTGGTGGTTACAAGTGCGTTTTCCTTCTAAGTCAATAAGTTATAATTTTGTGCTATGCACTTTTCTGTATTTGTGCTCTATTTTGCAATAAAAATTAAGTTGAAAATGATTAATTAAGCAGTGACCAGATATTTCCTACACTTTCTTTAAAAAAAAAAAAAAAGCCTTTGATGAGACTTCTCCCATTTACTAATGAACTCTTTCAAAGTTCTAGGCAGATCCACCAGAGACAATTGCCCCATCACACAAATCAAGGGTTTGGTCCAAGGTTAGTCTCTGTGTATATTCCTGGTCAGTGTTTCTCTCTCTGGTATATCTGCCTTCTCCTGAACCCCACAGATGATGGTTTGTGAAGACATCCAGTCATTTCTCATTTCTCCTGTAAGGTTCTAAAAGTGACTCATCCTTTGTTCTCTAACAGAGATAATACTAAGTAGCGGTTATGCTAATATTCTCATGATTAATACAAATGACCGAGGTAAAGGAAACGTCCCTGGTCTGTCCTGCTTCCTTGCTATTGCTAACTTTATGTGAACACAATTCCCTAAACCTTGACAAGTTCTCCCAGAGACATTTTACTAAGTCTATTCGAGGTTCACAGAATGCCCAAGAAAGTCTTCAGCACATGGCTTCCACACATTCACCTCTCATTTCTTCCTATTCATTGTGAATAGGTGTGCACATTCTCTTTGCTGCTGCTAAGTCGCTTCAGTTGTGTCCGACTCTGTGCGACCCCATAGACTCCACCAGGCTCCACCGTCCCTGGGATTCTCCAGTCAAGAATACTGGAGTGTGTTGCCATTTCCTTCTCCAAGGCATGAAAGTGAAAAGTGAAAGTGAAGTCGCTCAGTCCTGTCAGACTCTTTGCGACCCCATGGACTGCAGCCTACCAGGCTCCTCCGTCCATGGGATTTTCCAGGCAAGAGTACATTCTGTTTAAGTGATAGCAAATAATTAAGTCTTTTTACCTGAGGCAAAAAGAATGAAAGGGTTTGACATCTAATGGGTTAGGAACAGCACAGAACTAGTAAGATAGTGGCAACCAGGCTGAAACCACCAAGCATTCAAGTGTGTTAGCCATAGGACATTTTTTTCTACCCTTGAAATGTTGAGAACAAAATTTTTGTTTTAAATCTGCTTCTAATTTTTATATTCTGGCTTGTTGTTGGATTTATTTAATATGACTTTATCTCATACTAACAAATTACATTTTCCCATGACCGTTTTTTCTATTTCAGTTTGATCTAAATTAAGATAATTTACAAACCAGCTCTTTTAGGCTTTGGCACAAGTGTTACAAACGCTAAGAGTGAAATTCTATTGCTTAGGGTCTTATGGATTTTGTCCATCTCAGATGTCTTAATTGGCTTAATTATGCTGATACCCACAACACCTGTAAGGTTCCAATATGACACTGATTCTTTCTTAAGATCAAACCCATTATCAGCAGTAAGAACGTTCTAGGTCCCCAGAATTAGAGGGAAGCCTAATGCTGTGCACCTCAGCTGTACTCCAGGGATGTTAGTGAGGCAGGTACACCAGAATACAGTTGATGAAAAGACTACAAGAGATCTGAGTCCCCTACCTGTCTATCTGACCCACCACCACATCACAGGCTAGCCATTGTCCAGGCACCTGCACAAATGCTATAGGCTGTGCAGCTAGACTGGGACAAGGGTCTCATTGGGAACTTCTTCCAAGCAGACACAGCCCAAGTGCTTTACATGAAAAGAGGTTATAAGCCCATCTTTATACCATGAAAGCCATCAGCCAAAGTTACAGGCTTATTTATTGGGTGGGGCGGGGGGGGGGGTGCAGCGCACTGGAAAGGGTTTCAAATTAATGTCTGATCTAAAGTCGCATTTCCAAGGTTCAGCTTCATCTTCCTGTATTTCAAGAGCACCTCCCTAATCACTAATTTCTTCTTTCAGTTGCTGGGTAAACCTTTAACCCCTATCCTACCTCCATTTGCTCAATAGGAATGTTCATTTTCACTAGAATCTGAGTAGAATTGGAAATCAGGTGTGCCTGTCTAGGTTTAATCATTACATCGTGGTCAAATCGCTCTCCCGGAGCGCGTATACAAAAATGAATGGAAATTTTCATTAAAAAAAAAAAAAAAAGCCTTTTGGACCTCAGCCAGGACTAAGGATGCGGGAGGCCGAGCATACGGATGGCGGCTAGGGGTCAATCCCCGCCCGGCACCGGGTCGGCAGTGGAAGAGTCGGAAGTGGTCGGGGTTTGGGGGAGGAGATCCGCTCACACACAACAGGAGAGGCTGCGCCGCCATATCTGCTGCCGCCGCCGCAGTTGCGAATGCAGTGTCGGGACCCGGCTGCCTCCACGCTGCCGCTAAGGTTCGTGTCGCTTCCCCATCCCGACTCCCCACTCTTGCCGCCTCACCCCCGGCGGCACTGCCAGCTCTTTCTGGCCCATTAAACCCGTTCCCTCCCCGCATCTATCAGGGCTGAAGACGATGGATTTGGGCAGCAGCAGCAGCAGCGACTCAGCTCCCGACTGCTGGGACCAGGTGGACATGGAAGCACCGGGTTTGGCCCCGAGCGGGGACCGAGCCTCCTCGGCGTTGGCGGCGGCCGCCGCGGAGGTCCAGCATGAGCCCCTCAGCTCGGCCTTCAGCCGTCAGCTCAACATCAACGCCAAACCCTTCGTGCCTAACGTCCATGCCGCGGAGTTCGTGCCGGCCTTCCTGCGGGGCCCGAGCCAGCCGCAGACCCCCCCGAACGACGCCCCCGGCTTCTATGAAACCTGTACAGGCGCGGGAGACCCTCAAGGTAAAAGGCTGGGACGGGGGGCACCTGTGGAACATTCCAAAGAGGAACAGTTATTGTGGCGTGAAGGTTCCAATTCAGCCGTTACCATGGAACTTTCAGAACCTGTTGTAGAAAATGGAGAGGTGGAGATGGTTTTAGAAGAGTCATGGGAGCACAATAAAGAAGTAAGTGAAGCCGAGCCAGGGGGTAGTTCCTTGGGAGATTCGGGGCCCCCAGAAGAAAGTGGCCAGGAAATGATGGAGAAAGAGGAAATCAGAAAATCGAAATCTGTGGTCGTACCCTCAGGTGCTCCTAAAAAAGAACACGTAAATGTGGTATTCATTGGGCATGTCGATGCCGGGAAGTCAACCATTGGAGGACAGATCATGTTTTTGACAGGAATGGTTGACAAAAGAACACTTGAGAAATATGAAAGAGAAGCTAAAGAAAAAAACAGAGAAACTTGGTATTTGTCCTGGGCCTTAGATACAAACCAGGAAGAACGAGACAAGGGTAAAACAGTAGAAGTGGGTCGTGCCTATTTTGAGACAGAAAAGAAACATTTCACAATTTTAGATGCCCCTGGCCATAAGAGTTTTGTCCCAAATATGATTGGTGGTGCTTCTCAAGCTGATTTGGCCGTACTGGTAATCTCTGCCAGGAAAGGAGAGTTTGAGACTGGATTTGAAAAAGGTGGACAGACAAGAGAACATGCGATGTTGGCAAAAACGGCAGGGGTGAAATATTTGATAGTGCTTATTAATAAGATGGATGATCCCACAGTAAATTGGAGCAGTGAGAGATATGAAGAATGTAAAGAAAAGCTAGTGCCCTTTTTGAAAAAAGTCGGCTTTAGTCCCAAAAAGGACATTCACTTTATGCCCTGCTCAGGGCTGACCGGGGCAAATATTAAAGAGCAATCAGATTTATGCCCTTGGTACACTGGATTACCATTCATTCCATATCTGGATAATATGCCAAACTTCAACAGATCCATTGATGGACCAATTAGACTGCCAATTGTGGATAAGTACAAGGATATGGGCACTGTGGTCCTGGGAAAGCTGGAATCAGGATCCATTTTTAAAGGCCAGCAGCTTGTGATGATGCCAAACAAGCACAATGTGGAAGTTCTTGGAATACTTTCTGATGATGCTGAAACTGATTATGTAGCCCCAGGTGAAAACCTTAAAATCAGACTGAAGGGAATTGAAGAAGAAGAGATTCTTCCAGGATTCATACTCTGTGATCCTACTAATCTTTGCCATTCTGGACGCACATTTGATGTTCAGATAGTGATTATTGAGCACAAGTCCATCATCTGCCCAGGTTATAATGCAGTGCTGCACATTCATACTTGTATTGAGGAAGTTGAGATAACAGCCTTAATCTCCTTGGTAGATAAAAAATCAGGAGAAAAGAGTAAGACACGGCCCCGCTTCGTGAAGCAAGATCAAGTGTGCATTGCCCGTTTAAGGACAGCAGGAACTATCTGCCTTGAGACATTCAAAGATTTTCCTCAGATGGGTCGTTTTACTTTAAGAGATGAGGGTAAGACCATTGCAATTGGCAAAGTTCTGAAACTGGTCCCAGAGAAGGACTAAGCAGTTTTCTTGATGCCCCTATACAATACTGTGAGAATTGACTATGATAAAGTTCACCATCTTCTCTTATTTACCACACATTGACAAACTTTTCTCATATTTTGCAAAGAAAAATTTCACAGCAAAAATCCATGTTTTGTCAGCTCTCATGTTGAGATCTCAGTTATGTCACTGTTAAATTTACCCACAAGTCTCCTCCTCCTATTCCATTCTGCTTCCTTGAACAGAATCAGTAAAATCTTTGTAACTGATGTGGATGTAATTGTCTATAACAATGAAAAATTAATATATTTTTAATTTTTCATTTTCCTTTAGGATAGACAACCCTTGTTCCAATCAGACCAATCAGAGTATGTCAGTGTGTGTGTACATGTTAAAGACAACTAACATGTGAATAAAATATTCCATTTGAAACTCTTATTGGTATTTGAAGTGCTTTTGAATATTTTTAAAATTTGTCTGTAATACTTCTCAGTTAGCTTTTTCACTTTATCAAATAACTGAATACATCTTATTACCTGGGTTTTAAAAAATTGTCCTGCATTCACTGCTTTAAATGAAGAATTTACAAATAATGCACAGGTTTGTGTTAAAGGAAAGGTTTTAATTTTGATGAAAAAAATTTTAGAGCTCTTCCCAATGAACTTTGTTTTCTGTATTCAAGTCCAGTCAATAAAGGAGCTCTTCTGCTTCCCTACTTGGTATTTGGAAAAAAAAAAAAAAAGCTCATGCCTCTACCAAGTCCCCAAATGTTGAACATGGCCAGATTACAAATATACCTGGGGATTCAGATAGTATGTTGACTAGACTGTTATCTGTACTCCTTGGGCTTCATTGGTGGCTCAGACAGCAAAGAATCCGCCTGCAATGTGGGAGACCTGGGTTTGGTCCCTGGGTTGGGAAGATGCCCTGGAGGAGGGCATGGCAACCCACTCCAGTATTCTTGCCTGGAGAATCCCCAAGGACAGGGGAGCCTGGCGAGCTACAGTCCCTAGGGGGGTCACAAACAGTTGGAGATGATTGAGCGACTAAATACAGCACAGCTTCATCTTAACACACCCCTTTGTTTTATTCACTGAGAACCTTGTGGTGTGGGGCAGAACACAACAAGGGGCATTACTGTTGAGAAGATAAATGCTTGCAATAGTGAGTCAGTCATTGACTGACAAGTGAGGGTTAGTGAGAGTCCTGAGCTTAGAAATGGGGACACCATCCCACTCTCCCATTCTTCACTGCTTGGGGTTAGTAGGAAAGGTGAGGGGTCATTTTTACAATCAAATCACCCCATTCTTGGGGTCAGAGATAACAGGACTTGTCCATGAAGAGTACATTGAGGAAAACACCAACTGTAGATCCTGAGGTGACTACTTTTATTGCCAGGAGAGAGGCTTTATAACCTGTGTAACTCAACAACTGCAAGAACTTTCTGTCTTGGTAAGTGGGTAGTGGCCCAGTGTAAACACTGCCCAGTGGTGGGCACAGCCAATTCCTCACACTCATGGGGTGGTTGAACGAGGGTGGGGATTGCTGCTGGAACACCCTGAGCAATGCTCAGGATCCTTCTCCACGGTCCCCTTTGTTTGTGTCCCCATGTACCTTCAGAATCAGAGATAGCCACAGGTCTTTTCAGAGCATCAGTAGCATGGCTCTGTGAATCATCCAACCATAGATCTTCAGGACACCCACAAAGGAAAAGAGGTTTTTTATTTTGTCATATGTCAGCTGACCTAACCCACGGGGATGTGTCTCATGTTGTCTTGGACCCAGTCCTTTAATAATTAGAGTATCAGTGGCAAGAGTTTCATCTTACATTCGAGTTCATTCTTTTGCCTCTGTGCTCTGAACTTTGTACAAAATGGAGTGTTTGCTAAAGGTTTTACTGTGGCAGCTACTTTTTAAAAATCTATTTCAGATGCTGCATCAATCTCACTGATTTTACAGTTTTAGTAATTTACCAATAGGATCATTGTAGATAGCATCTACTAATAGGTCAAAGCCACAAGGCAGAGCAGAACTCTCTTTCTCCATCCAATTTGGATAACTTCCCATCAAAAACTGTCTCCTAAATGTCTTTCCCATTAGCCAGTTGTATAGAAACTTCTCTACCAGGAGCTCTGAACTATATATAAAAAACAACATTCAGAAATCAGGACATAAATCTTTGGGAGTGGATTTTAGAAACTAATAATTTTCATTTCAGAGATGATCCAGGTGGTTGGAGACTTTTTAGGAAAATCTATACACTCGTAACAGTTTTTTTCTAGCTTCATGAATAACTTTCTTTATAGTTCTTAATGTCTGGTAGTGTTCTCCAATACTGCAAATTAAGGCCATTCACAAGCACAGTACTGTTTCCCCAGGGCATACAAAACAGTGTCCCTTCAGAGGTCCCCTGTTGCCTCTAATTTAGACCTATTTAACTTAACTGTGCTAAGAGCATCTCAAGCAAGATAAATGTAGAAACTCCCCAAGTCTGGCTGCATCCTGTAAATACATCATGAACTTCCTACTTCAGGATTTCTCAATATGTGCCTACCCATTTCACTCTTGGCAACTTTTCTCCCAAGGGTCTTCCTTTTATTCTGGTCATTATAGGACATTTAGGAAAGGGTGCCAGTTTATTTGGTACTTCAGCAAAGACCCATGAAAGAAAGAAAGTGGAAAGTTTGGGCTGGGCAGAAGCTAGCAGGTCTCCACATTACTCACTTCGAGCACCTTTCTCTGGTACCCAGGACAAATTGTCAGTGCTATTAATACCCACTATGGTTACCATTCTTGTCTCCCAATAGACAAATCCTTTCTCAAAATAGACCTTTTAACAGTGCCATGATTCTGATTTACTACAATGCAAGAACCTGCTCTTTTTAAAGTTTATGTATGCACATTTTGCAGTGCAAATATTCAACTCACACACTAATTAAAATGGCCTATTTAGTGGCAGGAAAATTATTACTGTTTCATGGCCATTCAAAAGAAATTATCCAGCAACCACAGAAATTCTGCCAAAACTTGAGCATTTGGACATGTTCACATTGATCCAATGCCTGTTTCTATGTTCAGTATGATTCTATATTTTCTTTCTTTTAAATTTTTGAAATTTATGTATTAATTGAAGGATCATTGCTTTACAGAATTTCATTGTTTTCTGTCAAACATCAACATAAGATTCTCTATTTTCGGTTGAAAGTATTGACGTTTTTTCATTTGTCCTAGTTTTCATTTAACAATATCTGCTCATGTTTGGCCACTGAGGGGAAGGAAAGTTTGATCCCAGATTTCTCACTAGGGACGCGACCACTTCTGGGGAAAGTGGACTTGCCTTAGTATTTGGGAGAGGCTTCTTCAAAACACCCTGGGTGTGTTCATGTTCGACCAATCACAAAAATCAACAAGGGAAAAGGAAGAGAAAATAAAACCCTTCTGTATGAACATGCCACGAATGAGAAAACAAAACAAGGAGGGGGGGAAAGCTTTGCTTACATGTAAGAGAGCACAGTATACAGTTGGACACTATAGCCTATAGAATATTGACTGTAGGCTTCCCTTATAGTTCCATCTTGCACTCAACACTGCCAGATCGTTTTAGAGGAAATTTGTCTAAATTCTAGGGGGATTCTCTTTTCCTTCACTTACCCTTTAAAAATCATACAGTTTCTTTATAACTCAGTGGATGAAAAGTTCAGTCAAGTTCTAAGAATCAGACATCAATCAAAAGGGGTTTCAGCAAAGCCCTTTATTTTCTACTCAGATTAATGTTAAACTATCTGAATTTACATGGACACATAATTTGCAGATAGTCCTCAGCCCCCTAAGGAAGTTATTTGTATCTTTCACTGTTGAACTTTAAAAGTTCAGAGAATATTGAGACCTGCCCCAAGTTTTAGAATGAGAGGACAAAAAGGAAAAAAAAAAGGTTTGTATCTCTCATTTGATATGATATATATCCAATAAGTAAATTACAGCTCTTTCCTCACATTTGGAGCTCTGATTAAAAGGCTTCCTCTAATCTCTGAGACTTAGATGAATTATCTCCTCCCAAAATTGCTTTTACTAGCTCTACCACAGTCTTTCAGTGACCTTTTGCCACAGCAATAAATTTACAGAAGAAGAACACATTGTTACATAGCAGATGAGGCAGATGAGCAAAAAAGACTCCCAATGACTTCTGCTGGTTTAGCTGATATTTCGTGGATTAAAGGTTTGTTGTTGTTTAGTGATTAAGTGGTGTCTGGCTCTTTGTGACCCTATGGACTGCAGCACCAGGTTCCTTCTGTTCTCCACTATCTGATTAAAGGTTAGTGCTTGATTTCCACCTTTGTATTTCTTTTTGCACCCTGCTTTAACTGATGCTCACATGACATTTAGCTCACATGATATTTAGCTTTCCAAACTGCTTTAGCTTCTTTTGTCAATTTTGTAAGTTATAAATGAACAGGTGAAATAAAATATATTAATACATTTTAAAATATCTAAAGGGTTAACTCTTTGATGCTAACGACAGGATGCTCCATCCCCATCTGTGATCTTCAATGCATGCAAAACCCAAAAGAACTCTGAAAGGGAAAATGAACCTCAAGCATGCATTTTACACATTTGAGAAGGGAACATCGAGGTTTGAAGGGAAGGAGATACATCTAAGGAGCCTCTACCCTTAAAGGATAGTAATTCAGGACAGTTAGGTGTTGGTTTCACAAGATCCTGGTGGTGGGTGAAAAGTTGCTATGACCAAATTGAGCATAATTCAAGAACATTTGCCTCTATGGATGGCACACTACTCCAGGCCTGGAGGGAATTTCGGGACATGAGAAAGGTCATATTGATTTCCCAGCAGAATCTGAGCTGGGCCTCCAGGTGGCTAGGGGACAGATGCACATCAGATTCATTTTGTGAGACAAAGAGGTCAAAACCTCTGGCACTACTAGTAGCATGGCAGCCAACTCTGAGGATGGTAATATTATCAAGCCTCACAGATCCCCAAGTATCAGTGTTCGGTCTCACAC